GGTACTTGTAGCTGTCCTCAGTGTCTGCTATGTGTCAGGGTTCCTGGGTCGGTGACCCAGTATTTTCAGTTCACGTTCACTGTTTATCTTCTGCCTGTTCCACTTCCTGTTTTATTGTGTTAGCCTCGGTCCATGTGCATTATGTTCCGTCCTCTTCCCGTTTATCATTAGTTCATTATGTTCAGCTGTGTACTCACCAGGTTCTAATCTCTCATCACTCAGCCTGTGTATTTATGTCCCTCAGTTCAACCAGTCCAATGTCGTGTCATTGATGTTATTGTGATGTTGTCTCTCCGTCTGTATGTTCAGTTAGTCAGTCAGTGCTTCAGTCAGTCATCCAGCCAGCCATTTTCTCCCTTTGTTCTGTTCATCCACTCCTTATAATAAATCGTCACCTACCTGCGAGCCCTGCGTTTGGGTTCCTTCTTCCTCGCCTCCACCCAACCGCTGACAGAATGACACGACCCGTGCCACGAAGACACGTTTGGAACCCAGCGGACTCGGACCTCTACGAGCGGCAGGAGGTAGCGCTCTCCTTGTGGGCGGAAAAGCTCAAGGAGAGACAGCGGCTCTTCGCGGAGCGAGAGCACATCTTCGAGGGCACTCGCTTGGCTCTGGGCGGGCCTCGGAGACGCCGCGTTCCCCCACCTGCTGCCTCACCTGTACCGGAGCATTTGCCGTGGAGAGTGGACGTTCCACGCCGCGCTTCGGCCACTCCCTCTCTCGCCACTCCGCTCCTCGCTCCCACACCCGCCGCCTCATCCGCCGGACCTCCACCATCACCGCGGCACAACGGCTACGCCTCCCACCTCGGCTCAACGGAGGCTACCGCGCCAGAGGCTCTGCTGTTTTCCCTGGCCGCTTCCGCTTCCCAGAGAAAGCGGCGCACACGCCGCCATGGAACGGACTACTTTCAGCCACTCCCGATGGTGAGCTCCAGTGACTGTTTTTCGCACTCACCATCTGATTATTCACTTAAAACGCAGAATAAACCCATCTCTCATTCATGGGATGTTTCCCTCCTGGAGGATTCTGTGGACTGGGAAGATTTGTTCTGCTCTGCTCCCCCAAAGACTGTAAATAATGGTGGCAGAAAAATCAGAACAATCTCCAATAAACCTGCCAATAACACACACACCGTCACTATTTCCACACCCAGTATTCAGCCATTTCCCACCAGCACAGGGGCCCAGTCTACGCCCACACCAGTGCCAGCTCCCAGGAGGAGGGCAGCTGCGACCCGGTCTACCTCCACACCCGCTTCTGTTTCTCAGGTGGGGGTGACTGGTGTCCAGCCACCTTCCGTGCCCGTCCCAGTGCCCAGGTTGAGGGCAACCAGAACCCAGCTTGACCTCCCTGGAGGCTTGGAGGAGCTAACCGGTCCACCTGCTACTTCACCACTTCATCCACCTCCTGACCCAGCCTTTCACGCCCTCGCACTATCCCTAGTTAGATTAGCTGAACTGTCCCCTGCCCAGGCACCAGCCTTACGAGCCCAAGCCGTAATTTTATCTCCGTCACTAGCTCAATCTGTAGCTCAGCCAGCAGCCACGCCTGCCTCTGTTCCTCCCTTAGCATCTCCACTCCAGTCAGTTCCCTCACCTGCTGTTCAGCTTTCCCTCCAGTCAGTTCCCTCACCTGCTGTTCAGCTTTCCCTCCAGTCAGTTCCCTCACCTGCTGTCCAGTCTCCTCCTGTCCTCCAGTCATCTCCTGTAGCTCAGTCCCCTCCTGTCCTCCAGTCACCTCCTGTAGCTCAGTCCCCTCCTGTCCTCCAGTCACCTCCTGTAGCTCAGTCCCCTGTCCAGTCAGTCCAGTCGCCCCCTGTTTCCCAGTCGCCGGTCTACCATCCTGTTCAGTTCCCGGACCTGCAGCCACAGCACCCAGAGCCAGCTGTGAGCCTTCCTGCTCCTCAGCCAGGGGTTTCCGCACCCGCTGGCCCGGCCGCTCCTCAGCCAGGGGCCTCCGCGCCTACTGGCCCTGCCTGTCTCCAGCCAGAGGCCTCCGCGCCTACTGGCCCTGCCTGTCTCCAGCCAGAGGCCTCCGCGCCTGCTTCGCCCGGTCCGGCCTCTGCATCAGCTGCACCCACGCCCGGTCCGGCCTCTGCATCAGCTGCACCCACGCCCGGTCCGGCCTCTGCATCAGCTGCACCCACGCCCGGTCCGGCCTCTGCTTCTGCTCCGCCTGGTCCGGCTCCAGAGTCTTCGTCCTCGTCTGGCCCAGCCTCAGAGTCTTCGGCTTTTGTTTCGCCTGCTGCAGCTCCAGCCTGTGCTTTGCCTGGTCCGGCCCCGCCGTCGCCTGGTCCTGCCTCGTCTGGTCCTGTGCCCACCAGGCCATGGCCAGCACGCCTAACACTGGAGAGCCGCCGCTGCCTTCCGCGCGGTCGGCCCCCTGAACTGCTCCGTCGTCTCCTTCGCCGCCGCCGTTGCCTTCCGCACGGCCGGCCCCCGGACCGCCTTCGCCTGAGTGGCCGCCGTTGCCTTCCGCACGGCCGGCCTCCCGAACTGTGTCCACGTCGCCGCCGTTGCCTTCCGCGCGGTCGGCCCCCGGACCAGTGCTGTCGCCGTTGCCTTCCGCACGGTCGGCCCCCGGACCAGTGCTGTCGCCGTTGCCGTCCGCACGGTCGGCCCCCTGAACTGTCTCGTCTCGGCCACGGGCCGCGTGGATGCCCACCTGAACTGTCTCGGTGTGGACTCCGTCCCTCCGTCCTGGGCCCCCTCCGCCCGCCCTGTTCTGGGGTTTTTTCTTTCTCTTTTGGCCGTCGGGTGCCGGCCTTTGGAGGGGGGTACTGTCAGGGTTCCTGGGTCGGTGACCCAGTATTTTCAGTTCACGTTCACTGTTTATCTTCTGCCTGTTCCACTTCCTGTTTTATTGTGTTAGCCTTGGTCCATGTGCATTATGTTCCGTCCTCTTCCCGTTTATCATTAGTTCATTATGTTCAGCTGTGTACTCACCAGGTTCTAATCTCTCATTACTCAGCCTGTGTATTTATGTCCCTCAGTTCAACCAGTCCAATGTCGTGTCATTGATGTTATTGTGATGTTGTCTCTCCGTCTGTATGTTCAGTTAGTCAGTCAGTGCTTCAGTCAGTCGTCCAGCCAGCCATTTTCTCCCTTTGTTCTGTTCATCCACTCCTTATAATAAATCGTCACCTACCTGCGAGCCCTGCGTTTGGGTTCCTTCTTCCTCGCCTCCACCCAACCGCTGACACTATGTTGCCTTCTGACAATGCAATCCCCTCAGTTCTGACTAGCTTCACTCTCTTTGTTAGCATCAAACTACCGTTTGATCTGCAGTATGCTAATGTCAAAGACACTTATGGAGCTAATGCCTTACCAAAACTTGGCAGATCAGACCATAACTTGTTTTGTTTTTGCAGACCTGTAATAATCCCTGTGTGCAGAGACAGCTTGCAGCTAAACCTATGGTAGGGAAATAGATACCCGATGGTACTGAGGCTCTACGGACCTCCTTTGAATGCACAGATTGGAATGTGTTTTTGGAAACAGATAAGAACAGAATGGACACTGGCAGGCAGGTTGCTTATTTTAGTACATCAGCTTCTATAGAGACACAGTCATATCTACAAAGACTGTACGCTGTTTTCACAATAACAAACCCTAGATCACAAGTGGCACAAGGCAATCCTCAACCATAAAAAGATATACAAAGAAGATAGAAAGGAATCTACAAGTTCATGTTCAAATTTTATTCGCCACATGCAGTGGCAGGTTGCCCTGCAGTGGAATGAACCTGCTCCCCGACCAGACACACACAACACATACATCACATGGGGATACAAGTCAGAGAACGGTTGCATTACAGAAAAAAACACTGAAATGTACACTACAATGGGAAAGTACAAGAGGAAAAAAAGAGACATCTACTCATGCTGGGCTCATGGGAGGACAGCATGAGAACAGGAAACAAAAAAAAACCTCCTCTGCACATAAAGCACATAAATGTCCACATCACAACATTATAGAGCACGTGACCAGCAACAGGGTTGGGTAGGGGATAAAGAGTAATCCCAGGCAACACAGCAGCCATCCTGCCACTGCACTGACTCTCCAGCGTGGGCCCAGACCCGCCTCGTGTTCCCAGGAGGCAACAAGCATCGAAGGCATTGGAAGGGGAGGGGGATGTGTGAGTGCTTATCAGTGTAAATGTATGTGTGTGCGTGTCCATAGTTCAGCTGAGACGGTGTTCTTCGCCCTATCAGGCTAAGTAAACAGTCTACCAGCCAACCCAGGTGGCCTTGCATAGAGTGGGAAGAACAGTCAACACACAGTCGTTATCAGGGAGTTTTTGTTCGGCTCCAGCCTTGAGCCCAAAGCTGGCGCCGAAGGGGTATCCGCATTGATGTTGATGTTGTTGTTGATTTTTACAATTAAGCAATACCTGTAAGGTGTGGAAAGGAATCAATACCATCATTGGCTACAACAACAACAAAAGACAATGACTTATGGGTGATGTGGAGGACTGTGCTGCCCAGCTGTGTCAAGTTCTCCACAGTATGTTCAGTCTAAGTTTAGGGGCAGGTGCCAGCACCGAAAAACATTCTGTATTGTGCCACTACCAAAAATAAAGTATCCAGCTAAATGAAACAACTGCAGAGCACTTATCCTTACATTGGCAAAAACCTTGGAATAGTGGATTCTTCACAGAGGTCAAAGACCAATTGATACCCTGATTTTTGTCATTGCAGTTCACCTTAGCCATTTCTGGAGATCAGGACTGTCCGTTCTTTGGTTGGGCATCCTGGGTGCATCTTCTCCACTAGCAGCTGGTTAATTTGTGCTGCCAGGTGCTGTTAGCTTCTTAGCTAGTATGTGTGAATCTTGTCAGGGTCTGGTGCTATATCGTAGAGCTTGTATTTTATTATATCACCTTTGTAACAATGAACTGAATAAAACAGCTAGACAAGGAAGTCAGAGAAACCAAGTGTTAATCAGTCCAACAATAGGAAAGAAAAATCCATCACAAACAAGCATGCAGTTCAAAGTTCCTTTATTATCTGATAGTATCACTGTCCCAGGGTGTAGTTTGTGGCCCAGGATGCCATGACCTGATGGGAGAGCTGTGTATGGGGCGCTGAACGAAGCAGATCCTCAAGCAGGAAACCAAAACACTGTAAAGAAAACATTCACTAACCTGCAACACTGTGGTCGTCAGGCTGTTTAGTATTGCAATCACTTACAGAAAAAGAATAAAAAGCTGCATTTAACAGAGGGACCGTATCCTGATTCTTTTTGGTCACAAGTCATCATTTCTACTCAGTGAGGCATGGTCATCAGAGAAGAGCAAAACATTCAAACCTAATAAAATAACTCAAATATAAGCAATGGATGTAAAAATAATAATAAATACAAACAGCTCTGGATCTCAAATCTGAAAACAGTTCGACGGCACAAAAATAATCAAAATTAGAAAGAAGATAGTTCGAATATCCTAAAAGTCACCTTCTTATTGTTTACTGTAGAAATGTTTTATACTAACTGCTAACTTTAGGGCAGTTTGATGAAACTGTGAGATAGAAAAATATGGGTCTTGTTCAAGACATAAGGCAAAACACAAAAAAGCTGTGCAAGAGTTTGTGGAATTCTAAGATACAATTTTTAAGTACATATTAATTGTAGTTTTACATACCAAATCATATCACTTTAGCACAATTACTTATTTCAATGCAACAAAATCTATAGAAGTGGCTCAGTCTGTCAGTGGCAGAAATGTGAATTTATTAAAAGCAGGTCCATCTAATGATAGAACAGATGCATCTCAAAGTACAAACTGCTTCATGCTGATTATTTAACATTTACCTCCTGAAAGCAGCTCAGAAAAGTTTACAATTCAACTCAGCTTCAGAGAGAGCAATTTAAAATCTGAGCTCCATTTGGTAATGATGTTCAATTATCAGAGAAAACTGAAAACCTAGTAAACCTCAGAAATTGGCCTGTAATGAAACCTTCATGCAGTGAAGTTTCATAATGAGGATTTTGTTACATGTTTTACACTCAGTTATTGTATATATTCTGTAAATTAGGCCAATTATGTTATTTATGTTATTTGTTTGTAATGTATGGATCTTTTAAAAAGGATTCTTATGTTCACATAAAGGTACCTAAACAGTTAATGAGTGTCTACACTTCTACACCACAACACTTTGGCTAAAAACTATTGTTGCACTGCTGAAAGCTCACCAGCTGTTGATTGGCTTCACTTAAACTATGCTTTTGTAAAGTAAAGATCCTGCAATAATACAAAGAACATGGAGAAAACCTCAACAGTCAGATGAAGCTGTTTGAGCAAGCCAGTTGCTCACAACGGGAAACTCCCTTTTAAACAGAAAAAAACCTTTGGAAGAACCTGGCTCAGGGAGGGGCGGCCATCTGCCACAGGTGTTTGGGGATTGTGTATTTTTCTTATGTTATTTTACGATGTAGCATTTTATTTCGAGATGTTGGCAACTCCATGCTGTACATAAAGAATTCAATGAGAAACTCCAGTTTTGACCATTTTGGTGCCAAATGTCTTCACCATTGGTGGTTTGCTTGAGTGCAGTTCTGATTTTTTTTTTAATGTTACCTAACAAAACAGTGCAGAGGAATGAGTGTGAAGTGCAACAGCAGGGTAGAGAACATCAGTGAAGGTTGATTTGAAGGTGTGGAGGTGAACGAGACTGCCAGAGGAAATTCTGTAAAAGGACAAAATTTTGTCCTCCGAATCCAGATACACCCCGACACGACTGGAGCGCAAACACTGAGAAGATACACAGACCTTCTCTTTGTTGTGCTGAACAAAACAACCATCATCAGAGCAAATCAGACACCAAGACTTGTTGTTTTGTCCCAGCTTGCAGGCATCAACATCCCCTTTCCTGCCAATGCTTCTGTATGTTAACCCAACGCAGAAGGGCTCTGACACCTCCATCTCAAAGTAACAGCGTCCTTTTAGTCCCTGTTTACACAGAACCTGCTGACAGCAATCAAACCTCTCTGTATGATCAGGATATGGCTGCTCCTCCTCCACCCAGGTCACCTTTCTGTTCCCTTCAGAGAGCAGCAGGTTCTTGTGAGCTGTGTTGGAGTTCAGACTGAGCTCACAGGCATCTGGAGGTAAGAAAACACTTTATTCACAAATAGCACTGATTTCTAAGGTCAATCATCTAAAGCGGTTTTCAAAAAATTTAATTTCACACCTTCACTTTTAGGGGATGTGGGTTAGAATATTCTTTTCTTTTCTCTTCTACATTTCTTGAACTCATCAGTAAACAGTCACAGTGACAGGTTTCGTGTCTGAATGTTACCTGTGCAAGTAGCACAGGTAACATTCAGACATGAAAGCAACAAGTTGAAAACCCGCTAATGCCCAAAGCCACTGGACATTTGCATTTTCTTATGTACCTTTGTCAGGTAAATCCTAAACAGTTCAGACCTGACCAGAGTAATTAATATTAATAATTTAATCTTTCTATTTTTATTATTTTTATTTTCTGGTAAATGATCTAATTTACATAAAGAAAACCCAGTCAGGCAAATGATGAACACATTATTATATTTATTCATAAATTTATTAAAGAAATTATACAGTTTTACATTTCTGTGAGGGTCACATTTACTTCAATTTCAAGGATTAGCAGTTAAATGAAATATAAAATTAGTTTCAATCAGAGGAGTATGGGCACTCCTACAAGCTTATTAGGCATGTAGATTTTTTTAAACTGTGCAAAAACTGTGATGCAAACAATGAAGTAGAAAACCTCCTATTTTTTTTGTTTTTTTGTTTATTTTTTATATCCATAAAATGTTGATGGTAGGAACTTCTTTTTAAATAATCTACAAAATAGAGAAAACATAGATGACTAATTTCAAACTTCTGAGTGGTATGATATTATTGGTTATTAAGTAAATAAATATCCTGTTTGCACTTTCTTACTTGATCACAGCTTTCAGTCAAAAGCATTTTCACAGGTACTCACATTTCTTGAATCCTGGTTTCATCCGGTGATGTCCACCATGTTCAAAACTGAAAAAATATAGTTGAGAATTAGATGAAGCATATTAGCAATAGCCAAAATTTATAGATGCCATTTATAGCCTAAAACAAAAATGTTTTCATTGTTGCTTTTGACATTAATAATAATAATAATAATAATAATAATAATAATAATAATAATAATAATTAAAAAAACATGCAGTTTTGCTATAGCTCAATAGTATTATATTTAGTTCTGTAGAAAATCAAAAAGATGGCACTCTTTGATCATGATCTGGAACGCTTATGAGAAAGGTCAGTGAAATAGCTGTGCACTGACAGGTGTTAAACCACAAAAACCACAAGTTCTAATAAGCTGCTTGCCTTTTTTCCAAGTGAGCCACAAGAGGCAATTATGAGCATATGTGTCTTTATAAGGTAGATACAGATGTCAAAGATAAAATAGTGAGCAGTGTGTGCGTGTTGTTTCTGAGCAATATTTCTTTTAAAAACACAATGTTTAAGGGTCAAAAATAAATTTCCAGTTTGACCCGCTAACCTGCCCACCTACATTAACGAGCCATACAAACATAGGTTCCGAGATTTCCTTTTTTCTCTTTGGTATTTGGGGGCTGTTTCTGAAACAGTGGATGACACAGGGCCAGAATTAAAATTACTTGAGTTGGCTGAGGTTGTATTTTGGATCATCCTTCAGCTCAGAGAGCTTCTTTTTCCCAACTCCTCCTGGATGGTTATAGCTCAGGTCCAGCTCTTTGAGATGAGAAGGATTAGCCTTAATGGATGTGGCCAAAAACCCACAGCCTTTTTCTGTCACCAGACAACCAGATAACCTGAGAAAACAATGTTTGGTATATATCAATGCAGGTTTTAAAAGTTATTTTAGAACTACATCAGCAGTAGTAAAATTGAAAGCATAAATTACAAGCACAAGAAAATTATGTGGATTGAGATGGGGGTTATAGTATTTCTCAAAACAAAATAAATAAAAAGATTTTACATTAACAGATGTTGGTTTTCAAAAATTTAGACAGAAAAACCTTAAACTGTCCAAAGAACATTTTCTGTGGACAGAGTTGAGTTGTAACTTGCAGCTGGTTTGGTGGGTTGTCCATCTATTTGTAAAATGGCACGGTATTTTAAACATGTACCTCAAAGTTTTCAGTCTGCAGCACTGATTCGACAGTCCTTTACACAGCAGCTCTACTCCTGAATCTTTCAGGTCATTGTTGCTCAGGTCCAGATGTCGTAGAGGTGAGAAGGGGAAGGTGAGACCAAAGGCCAGATGCTCAACCCACTCTTCAGTCACTTTACAGTCTGCTAGTCTAAAAGGGGTAATAAGGTTTTTTATTTAAATAGAAATGAAGAATAAGTATGTAATTGCCACTGGGGGCAGATAGGATTTGTACCTTTCTTTTTGTATTATATCCTGTTCAACAGTATTGTTGATTCAGCTTTAAAGATGAACAAATAACAATGAAATAAAACTTACAAGGCTTTTCCGCTGCTCCTCACTGCTGGTATCAGCCTCCGTCTGCCCTCCTCTGATGTGTTGTAACTCTTCAAGTCCAAGACTTCCAGATCATTCTTCGATACCTGCAGCATGTAGGCCAGTGCAGAGCAGTGCAGGGGAGTCAACTCTGTTTTTGAACGATCTGACAGTGCAAGATATTCCTGAATCTCATCTTTGACTTTGTGATCTCTCATCTCGACCATAGTCTGGAAAAGGTTGATGCAGCTGTCTGGAGAGAGGTTCTTCCTTCGCACAGACTTGAGGTAAGTCAAGATTTTCTTTTCAGTATCTTGACTTTGATCTGGTGAAGGCAGCAGACCATGAAGGACTCTGCGATTTGGTTCAACCAGGAGGCCAAGAAGGAATCTCAGGAAGAAGTCCAGGTGACCATTTTTCTTCTCCAGCACTTTGTCAACCATCATCTTTAAAAGATCAAGTAATGTATGTTCTTGGCTCTTTAGATCGAGGAAGCTGCTGAGCTCTCTGGTATCATTATTTATGAAACAGTCATAGATGTGGAGAGCTGCAAAGAACTCCTGCAGAGTTAGATGTACAAAGAAGAAGACCTTTTTCTGGGAAATGATTTCTTCTTCACGAAGTACTGTGGTGCAAAATCCAGAGTACATGGAGGCTTCTTTAATGTCAATGCCAAAGTCTTCCAGGTCTTCCTCATATAAGATGAGGTTGTTCTTCAGCAGCTGCTCAAATGCAAGCTTGCCGAGTTTCAGAAGAAATTCTTTGTGTGTTTTCAGAAGCTTCTCTTTGTTTGTCTCAACCTTCTTGTCATATTTTCTGTTTCTACGCTTTGTTTGTGCAAACAGGAAGTGTGACATCATCTCTGTAAGAGTTTGAGGAATTGCAGTTTCAACATCTCCTCCAAAGACTTCCTGGAATAACACTGCAGAAATCCAGCAGAAGATCGGGATCTGACACATGCTGTCGAGACTCTGTGAAGACTGAATATGTTTAATGATCCTTTCAGCAAGATCTGGATCGTGACTAAATCTCTTCCTGAAGTATTCAGCTTTTTGAGGATCATTGAACCCTCTTATTTCTGTCACCATGTCAATATGCTCAGCAGGGATCTGATTGGCTGCTGCTGGACGGGAAGTAATCCAGAGGTTTGCATCAGGAAGAAGGTTACCCTGGATGATGTTTGCTAGGAGATCCCTCACAGGTGCTGCTTTCTTCACAGATGTTATAGTCTTAAAGCCTTCAAAGTCCAGATGAAACCTGCTTTCATCCAGACCGTCCAGGATCAGAACAATCTTGGTTTTGGTATAATCCACTGAATCTTTGAGATCACACAGTGTGGGATGAAATAAAGTCAGGAGCTCATGTAGGCTTTTTTCACCTGTAGTCAAATTCAGCTCTCTGAAAGCAAGACTGAAAACAAAGTCTGCATCCTGGTTTGCCTTCTCTTCGGCCCAGTCAAGAATGAATTTCTGCACAAAAAATGATTTTCCAATTCCTGCAACGCCCTTCGTCACAACTGTTCTGTGAGGTTTGTCTTGATCAGGCAACGGTTTCAACACATCATTTAGGTTGATTATTTGCTGTTCTGAAGTGTGTCTTATCCGTTTATGTTCGAGCAGCCTGACTTCATGCTCTTCACGTAACCTTTCACTCTCTCCAGTGGTTATGTGAAGCTCTGTGTAGATGTTGTTCAGTGAACTCGGCTTGTCACCATTACCTTCAGAGACTGAGGAATATTTCTCTTTCATTGCTTCTTTTAATTTCTTCTTTGCCTCTAAAAGATGAATTTTACCTGTAATGCAGTGAAACGCATCAAAGATGCTCAGGTGGTTAATACCAGATCGCTTTAATTTGGTCAGAGAAAAATGCACGATAAGAAATTCCTGACCTGATTTGGGGACTTCCATTTTTCATTTTAAGTACTGGTTTGCAGATTGCTTTAAATGAGCAATAAGGTATAAAAGTTCTTTATAAATGCACCCAAGTTAGCAAAACCCTGATACTCTTGCACTTAATGCATGTTTTCAGAATATAACTGCTTTTAAGCTCCCTAACAAACTTAACTTTATCATTAAAAGTTAAATTTAATAAATGAATCCAACACTGACTCACTCTTGTCTGTAGCAAGTTTTTTTTTCTTTTTTTGCAGTAGTAGAGATAGTAGTGATCTTAAGTATGTAAGCTTACCTGTGTCTCCCTCCTTGTCTTTCTCTTGTTTTAATGTTTTTCTGGATTTCTTCGCACACTGAGGACAAGGACAGTCTGCTGGTGACACAGACTCATCCAGGTCTGAGCTGAGACACAGTTTGCAGCACCAGTGTTCACAGCTGAGCTGAACTGGATTCTTCATAACATCTTTGCAAACTGGACAGGTGGATGGCTTCTCAGTTACTGGTCTGTAGGAGGGTTTACAAATTAGACCTTAATTTAATTACTATAGCACAATAATGGATATTTTTTCTCTGTTTTTCCATAACAATAAGTTGTCTGCATAGATTCTCAGTCATCCAGGTCATGGTAGTCTAAGACACGATCCCTGGTGGACCTGAGGTTAGGTAATTGATTGGAGCTTCATGTATAGAAGCTTTTTAATCTCTTCAAGCCTTTTAAAATACGGTTTTGCAGTGCGGTAGCTGAGTAACTGTAGTCCAAATACTCTTTTTTTAAAGCAGGATACACATACTCCAGCACACAGGTCATTTGAACAGGCAATTCTGCATTAAGTCAGTCAGAAGCACTGTGTCAGCAGACCATCAGTGTTCAAAACCTTCAGAATCTTGGAGGTAATATGATCAAACCCTGCTGCCTGGGTACATGATTAACACTCATCCCCTACTTGTCCTTCCTCAGTCATCATCGTTTGCCAGAACTTGCCTCCAAAAGTCCCCGATCCATGGCCTTCACAAACTGCTCTCCCACCTGGGTTACCCAATTTGAATCACTTCTGATCACCTGGTACTACTGCTGGAGATCCTTAAGGTTTGCTTTTAACTGCCTCACAGGGACAAATGCCCTGACTATGTTCATGACTATAATTATGATAGAAAGACCCATGTTCACAAATTGTCACAAATGGTTCAAAACTCAACTATTTCAAACCACAGTTCAAAATTTAGGATTTCTGTTTTAACCTTTCATCTTTAAAGTTGACTGGCTCGAACTTGGATCTGTTGCTCCTGAGGGACATCTTGCTAGGAGCAGTACTCATCTGTGAACTAGAGGGAAAGAAAGTTTTATGAGATCAAAACTTGTTAGAAGTTACTGTCACTCTTTAAAGAAATCTTCCTGGGAGCTGCAGATCTAGACGCCGTAGACTGTGAACTAGGCAAAGAATAATCTATTTACGGACTGACATTGACATTACTTAATTAGTTTTGTTTGTCAGGACTTTCAATATAATAGCACAAATGGAACATTTACGATCTTACTTAGAGTAACTTTTCAGAAAACAGTTTAGCATCAATTTCAGCAGTAAGGAATAACAAGACATTTCAGTTGAAGGAGAGATGTTTTTTTATCACTTTATTTTCTCCTCTTACTGAAACTTCAACTTTAAATAGGATTGTCTGTTTTATAAGCTCTCTTAACCCTCTCAGGCTCAAATTAAGTTTTTGTTGCAAATGCACAACCAAGTCCTGCAGTGGTACTTCTGAGTTAAAAAAAAGTTAAAAAAAAACCATAAAATATGTATGTGGGGTAATCAGGTTGTTAGTTTTTAACTGTTGCAAATCGGCAACGCCTGCCTTGAGAGGGTTAATCAGCTTTAACAGCATGACCCAACAGCAAACTGACTATTTCTCAAAACACAATAAACAACATCTGTCTTACACAACACAATAATAATTAAAAAAATCTTGATCAGAATTTTAAGGACTGATGCTTTTTCAGACTGTTTCTCTTAATTAAGATTAAATTACTGAAGACCAAAATGACCAAAGTTAAACATGTGAAATAACAAAGAAGAACAGACAATGTAAGAACTAATTTTTGTTAGTGACACTGTTCTCTCTCTCTCTCTCTCTCTCTCTCTCTCTCTCTCTCTCTCCCCGTGTGTGTGTGTGTGTGTGTGTGTGTGTGTGTGTGTGTGTGTGTGTGTGTGTGTGTGTGTGTGTGTGTGTGTGTGTGTGTCCTATACGGGTCATTTTTACCTGGCTTCAGTCTCACTGGATGACTGTCTGAATGTAGATCGCTTCCTTTTCTCCTCATCCATTTTTGCTGCTGAACTGAACAAACATAACAGTCATTGGAGATAAGAATGTAACACATACAGCGATACCTCAGTTTTTGGCTATAGTGTTGACTCATAGTCGGTCTCACCAACTGAGCAAATATGCAACTACTGGCATTTATCTAGTCCATCACTTGTTTTGTTTGTTTGTTTTGTTGTGGTTTTGTGGGATTTATGAATTTTATTTAGCTGATTTAGAGGTTTGACCTTTGTGAATTCAACAGTGTAAATAATCAACCTGTATTCAATTCAACTTTATTAATATCAATCAAAATAGCCGTCACCTCGGGGCACTCTATATTGTAAGGTAGTCCCTACAATAATAAAAATACAAATGGAGAAAAACCCAGCAATCATATGACCCTCTGTGAGCAAGCGCTTTGGTGACAGTGGTAAGGAAAAACTCCCTTTTAACAGGAAGAAACCAGGCTCAGGGCGGGGCGGCCATCTACTGTGACCAGTTGCCTCGAAGTGAGGCCAAAACCTATGCTGCATCCTTCGGAGGACCCAGCCTTCCCGGTCTATGTGGGCTTGGTCCTCGAAGACCGAAAAGGCTGGAAGTTCGAGGCTATGAAATGGGATGGTCTAGCATTCAGATTTGCATCACCGCTGTCTCTGTGAAGTTTAAAAAACTCAGCTGTCTGCTCCTTGCTATCTAAACTATAACAGGACATTGGAGTAAATTCTCTACCATCTCACACTTCTGATTAATCAGTTTTCTTTTTGACGTTTATTCAGCTGTGTGAAAACTCTAACTTTAGTCTCAGCCAAACCAATTTACTCAGGATCAAATAAAACACTGAAAAAAGCCAAACAATAAAGTTTTTAAGTTATCTGAATGACTCATAAATCACGTTCAACCTGAGAAGCGAAAGACCGTGGGGGTCTGAAAACTAGTCCACTATTCTCGCCGGCTTTAGTAAGCCTTGAACCCCGGCTAGCTGGTGGTAACACACGTCTCCAAAAACATCAGAGGCACTTTAACAAATATGTGATGTCTTGATAAACCAAGCAGATATTTGAAGTTTACACAGCTACATTGTTGCCTGAAAATATCTTAAAAGTTTATTTTGTGACTGAGAAAGAGTAATAAGAGTAATAGCTGTCGCCATTGTTGGAAAACTGGAATCGGCTGGGATATGGTGGGACATGAGAGATACCCCTGATCCATCCTTCAAATCTAGGGAAGGAGGACGCATGTGCTGGCTACATGTGGAGAAGTCTACGAATTTGGACAGCCTTCGTCGCGTCCCTTGTCCTTTGTCCCTCTTTGGGGGGAAACTCCCACTGGGTTTAAATCTGGGACTCTCCACCCTTTGACCTTAGAACTGAAGAAGCTTCTCGGATGAGAGGTGAAACGTCTTCAAGCAACTTAAAGAAGTTCAGACGCTTTTCTTTCCAAGCTCCTTTGACTACTGCACGGAAACCCCAAACTGGTACTGGTGAAGGCTGACTGATATAGAAAGGAAAACAATGTTACACACCCCTTATATTATCACTGCAGCTGTCTGATTTCACAAACACACCCAGGGACAGCACATAAAATCAATGGTAGAAGTCTCCACTCTGTAAAACAAAGAAGGAAAGAAAAGGGTCCATTTATAAAACATATTTTATCCAGGACAAATTCTGCAATTGCATCATTGTAAATTTGCAGTTCATCATAAACATTTTCAATAGTCAATGTTTGGCCTCATATTGGAATAAATCCTTTTCAATATAAAAAAAACAGAAACAAAACAACAGAAATAGTTACAGTAAGGTACATGTGAATTAAAGTATTGCCAAAGTTGGTGTAGATCTCTGATAGTGTATTCATGTGAGTGTGATATATATATATATATATATATATATATATATATATATATATATATATATATATATATATATATATTCATTTATTATGCAAATGAATGTTATTGTTCATTCTCGGTGTCCTTTGTTCTAGTAGCTGCAGTCACCGCGGTGTAGAACAGACTGAGCAGCAGCTGAGAATCAAGTACAGCAGTATTTCTACATTTCTACCACAAACTTGTGGTGCTTTTTTCAGTGTTAGTCGTGTACAGCTTTGAACATGAAACGTTTTCCCCCAGCAGAGAATCTACGCTACATTTAAAACATGTGGCTCCTGCCTGCTTGGATTATTGCACATAAACAGCTTACCTCTCGGTTTGTTGTTGAGAGGAGCCCATTCAGCGACAGGTTGCTTCTCCCAAAGTCAAGAACCAACAGACTTAAAAACTCCTTTGTTCCCCCACGCCATCAGGGGACAAAGGAGGGCGGGAACAACTAAGCTGTAGTGCTTTTTTACACTGTGCAATATTTGCAATATTTTTTCTTATATTCGACTGTGCAACAGACTCACTCAAATGTGCAATCCTATGTATCCATATGATATATTCTGTATTTATATATATGTACAAGTGTATATATGGTATATTTATTTTATATCCTTACCATCATTCCCCTTATTGTATCTGTAACATGCAACTTCTGTCGGTGCTACTGGAAACGGAATTTCCTGGAGGAACCCACCCAGTGATTAATAAAGTTCCATCTAATCTAATCGAAAACCCGCTTCTTTCTCCCAATTAGATCAGAAACTTCTGCGATTTCCGTGCTTTAATTTCCCTCCTCCTAGTCCGTAAAACGCAGCAGATTGACCAGATTTATTACCGAGCATGGAAAGAGGAGCCAAAGTCCTTAAATGAAGAATTGCCACACCTGAAACGATCCCTCAGCGCAAGATGAAATACAGTCAAAACGAATTTGGACAAAATGGAATTATTTTATAAAAACAAACATTGACATTTACAGTCTGTTTTTAATTTTTTTAAGTTTCACTTTCGTTTTTATGCTCCTTTTCTGTCAGCTCAATTGCTGTAATTTGGAGCATTAGAGCCAGCAATCGAAATTCGGTTTGTTGTTTCAGGACAAACTGCCACAGCTGCTCATCTGTCTACAAAATGCCTTGTTTAGATGAGTTAGTGAAATCCTACTTCATAGTACGTTTTTCCAACAAGAAAAGAAATTATTTCTCTTTTAGCACATACCATACCATACCATACCAACTTTATTTCTAAAGCACTTTAACATAAAACCAGAGTTTCACAAAGTGCTGTACATGTTAATAGCATACGTAAAGAAAATTAAAATGAGATACGATAAAATAAATAGATACAATAATTGTGCTGATCAGTATAAAGACTTTGAAAAGAAAAACTGCAGAAAGATGCATCTTGGAAGAGTGGATTTGTACAAAATGAAAAGTCTGGTAATAGACAGATGCAAGTTTATCGATAATGAGGATCGTTAAACTCTCAGACAATAAAGAGAATGTTTGTTGCATCACAGACATGATCGTATGTTTTACTAACTAAACACAGCATGTTGTGGAGGGCATATCAGTTTGTCTTGAAACAATTTTACTGCACAAAGCAAAGGATTTTTGGAAAGTGCATTCACCCCTGTAATTTGTCCATACTGTAAATTATTTTTGCAGCAGTGATCCAACTGGGAAAAACTGACCAAAAGCAACAGCGATTTCTTTCAAACTTCCTTTTTGTCAGGGTCCCTGTGCCTACCCGGTCGGCTCAGTACGGCTACATATGTTTTGTATTCCTTTTTTTATTTTTTTCCTGCTCTCTCCTTTCCCCTCTTTCCCTCCTCCCTCTGCCTGGGCGGAGCTTACCTGCGGGCTCCTGCCCTTGGCCCACGCACCTGTGGCTCATCACGAGTGATCCAGCTCCTTTATAAGACGGCAGCCCTGTGTTTCTCGTCGCTGGACCGTTGCCGACCCTCGTCAGTGTAACCCCAGCTCAATGACTTCAGAAGTGTTTCATAGCGATTTACCTAACTACCCATTCGTGTCTCTGTGTACAGATTCCCTGGACCTACCCCTGTGTTACCCGAGTGCGTGGAGTGTGAGGAGGAGTGGACGGAGAGTGTGCGTGTCTTTCCCGTTCGTGTGTGGACCCCCGGAGCCCGGCTTTCCCCTCACTTTTGTAAATAATCACCTGGTGCATCATAATAAAGACTCTTGTGCTTTCAAGACCTAGAGCCTGCGCGTGAGTCCGTTCAGTCCCGTTGTGACACTTTTTTTTTTTTTTAACCGTTTGGTGGAACTGGCGATAAAAGGAAAAAAAGGATTGTTTTCTGGAGAAAACATTAACTCAACAAAAGGTTAGTAGATTCTTATTATGTTCTAGAAAACTAAGCTATTTTCTAGATTACTTCTAAACTGATTGGCTTTCTATCAACATTTTACAGTAGAATCTTTAGTCGTGGAACAGCCTTGTGTCACCCATGAAACATCTATGTCACCAGAAGCAAACATAATTTATTTATTTATTTATTAAGTTTTATTGTAAAAACGATCTCTTAATCACAGCAAATGCTTACTTCCATTGTTATGACAGCATACATGACCAAACAGTGATGATGCCTCATTGCCTGTTATTTGTCAAAGGTGTATTTAAACAAATCAACTTGTGTTCACGAAATTTTTGGTAAACTTCAGAGATGTGAAATCCTTTGAGATTTTCAGTAGCAGCACCTTTGCTATCAGTTTCAAAATCCTGCACCACTTTGTTCTTGAGTTTTTGTGTTTACAGAATTGGATTTCCACTCAGCCCACCCACCTGCCCGCAGTGTGGGGTGAAATACCCCTTAATAATAATAATAATTATAATAATACGACTAACACCACCCTGAATTTATACCCTTTCTTTTAAGTCCCAAACATCTCTTTGAAATTAGTTACTGGGCCTCATATTACATGTATGTACATGTATTACATGTATGTACCCAGCATTTCCGTGTTGTTGCTTCATTTCTGAATAAATTCACTAGATGCAGACCACTGTGTGTTTTACATTTTCCTCTGTTCTTCATAATTCAGTTCTTGCTTTAACTTCGACTACTTTTTTTGTTTTCAGTGACAACTGGACCAGCAGTTCGTTAACTCCATCTGATTGAGTAAA